AACAAGTACTAAGGGCTCACAGGCATAAGTTCACACAACTCAGTAGTTCCCCCAAATGACCCAAATCTACTAAGTAAAGTGTGTATGCCACAGGACTGATGAGTTTGCTTAAATAAAAAGAGGAATCTTTAGTAGGGTCAGGGTAGGGGGATCTGAAGAACAACATTCAAAAGGCACACTTAAATCCACACATTAGTGTTTGTCTCTCAGAATAGTTCCTAACCTTGCATCCACTTTTAAAAGAACATCTAATGTGTTTAGTTCCAAATGCTATATGACTTCCTCATCCCAGAGACAAATGCCTCCACAACGTTTTACAGAGAAAAGTCCGAGAAACAGATCTTTGAGTGGCGAGAGAAGGGTTGAAAGACTAAAAATCAGGCTCTTCCAGGGAAATTCCAGACTAAAACATTAAAAACAACATTTGTGCAGTACTTTTAAAATGTTAAATGTCATGGAAATTCTCCAACTTACTCCACAAAGTATTCAAAGTTATATCAGGATTCACTCACTTCAGACAAGTGGACACTGGGTCAGGTTAAGTAGAATGCCCAGGCTTACTTCCTAAGTGACTTACAGCCCAAGCCGAAGGAAGCACAAGCCATGCCTTCATAGTATGTAACTGAGGCCAACATTTGTATCTCAAAATTCTCGGTAGAAGACAGACCTCCAACAAATGGTACTGGCCAACAGCTGAGTATCTGACAAGCCTCTGCTTAGTCCTGCCCTTCAAACAGCAATATATTCTTTCCTGCATTCATTCAAGAAAGCATGTTCTTAGGAAAAAGCTCTCATTTCTAGACAAACAAAATCTTGACTCAGGGGACAAGAAGTGTGACGGGAGAGCACCTGTCTGGCATTCCAGAGGCATTCCCAACAATGAAGAAAAGGTAAATAAAAACCTTGACTTCGTCATAAAGTCAACAAGTTTAACTCCAGTGATGGCATGCTTTGAGCAAAGGGCTACCCTACATACCTGTGAAAGACACCTGGCACTTCCTAGACAACTATGGGCAGATCTAATATCCCATAGCACAAAAGTAATGGCTATTAGTAAGCAGAGCAAAAAACAAACAAACAAACAAACAAACAAAAAACCAAAAATGTGTTAGAGCTATTCTGTATACTAGTGAACGACACTGTCCCTAAGTTATAGTTCACTGCTGGGATAAAGCAGTCCCTCTAAGTTGACACACAGCACAGTGTGGTTATTAGTCTCCAACATAATTTTCTAAAAGCTCCTTAAAAATTTTTCTAAAAGCTCCTTAGATGAGCTTTTCTGCTTTGTCTCCTTTTCATCATCTCCCCATAAGCTAATCCTATCCATACCGACCCCAACCACCTCCACTTGTCCTGGTCTCTCACCATCCCTTGCCACCAACGACAACCTTCCAAGTCCTGTCTTTGGTATTAAATTTCCCCAGCCCGTAACAGATAAAAGGACTGACAAGGTGGTAAGAATTGCGTTGAGTTTTCCAAACAGCTCCCTACTAGCCCAGAGATTGGGTCTGTATCAGTCTTCCTCGATCATGGCTGATTCTTATACTCCATCTTCTTAACTCACTGAAAAATAATGACCTTTAAACTTCTGAAACAGACAATCCCTCTTTTGGGGCCTTAGCAGCAAAGGAAACATCTCTTCTCTATCCATGCTACTCTTTCCTTAGAGTCTTCTCTAACCACTCTTCTGTTAGAAGGCAAAGAATGTGGTATCAGGTAAGGCTGAGTATGTGTGACTGGGCTCCCATTCTAAAGCTTAAAACCCAGTTTCTATCTTTGGGCCTCTTCTCATTTCAGTATGCGGCTTTAACTTGTTCACTCAATAGAATTACAACCACAACCTCAACCTCAACCTAACTCTTGCACATTTATTTACCTCTGGCCTTGAAGTTTTAATTTTTAAATCAACTCTATTAAATTATAATCTGTGCATAACATAATACACATATTGAATGAAGTGTAGCTTTCAACTAATTATAGACCCATTCAACTACCACCACAATCAAGATTCCATCACCCTACAAATCCTCTATTCTTCCAGCTTTCTTCCCTACTACACTAACACTAACACAAATTTCTTAACAACTTCTATTTACCCTTCCGATACCTGCTTATAACACAAGGAGCTGAATCATTCCCTGAAGAATTCCTCCGCATCCTTCTCATCATTGCGTCTTAAGCACTTGGTACATACACCTCTTCTCAACTAATTCACTGGATGAAAATTCATCACTTGATCATGAAGATTTTGAAGTCAAGTATTTTATCCCTTTTCACATGTCAACATCTCAAGCTTTCTTTTTTTTTTTTTAAAGAAATTCGAGAAGGCTACAAATAATGTCTCATGCCTGTAATCCCAGCACTTGAAAGGTATAGGCAAAAGGATCCGTCCACAGTCATCCTCAGTTACATAGAAGATTCAAGACCAGTCTTGGGTACACATCTAGTTGTCTGAAAAAAGGGGAGAAAGGAGGTGGTAAAAAAAAAAAAAAAAAACAAGCAGTCTGATGAGGATGCCTATCGAAAACATTCCAAGTCTATTAGCGCACAGGTTATTGTTCACAGTGATGGCACCCAGCCAACGTGACAGCATATGATGGAAAAGTCAGCTCATTAGTACAACAGAATGTACTGCCGTGACCTTGCCTATTTAGTGATGTTATTACATAGTTGGCCATTACCTCAGTCAGTGTTCTATTGTTGTGAAGAGACAACATGACTGTGGCAACTCTTATAAAGGACAACATTAAACTGGGACTGGCTCACAGTTCCAGAGGTTTAGTCCATTATCATCCTGGTAAAAATATGGTATGGCAGCAGAGTACTCGAGAAATAGCTGAGAACCTCATCCTGATCTGTAGACAGACTGGGTCTGATAAGGGCATTTGAAACTTCATAGACAACCTCAAATAACACACTTCCTCCAACAAGGCCACACCTCCTAATCCTTCTATTCCTTCTCAAATAGTGCCACACCCTGGTGAATAAGTATTCAGCCTATGGGGGCTACCTTATTCAAACCACCATAGTCACTCTCCAAATGCCTTTGAATGAATTAAACAAAACTGAAATATATAAAAGCTGCACGCGCGCGCGTGCGCACAGACACACACACACACAAACACGGGAAGGGAGGGAGAGAGGAAAAGAAAGGAAGAGAGAGGGGAAGAAAGAGAGAAATAATTTCCCCCTAAACATGCATTCACTAATCACCATATTACCAAGAAGATCATATACATACTCCACCCAGTGAAATTACAGAGCTTCAATATGCTATGCTGTCCACACAATTTTACTTACCTTGTATGAGCAGATAGATAAGATCCATGTCACCTAAAATTATTTAGCCATTGTATTAGTGCAGCTTGAGTGCCATGAGTCTCAGGGAATCAATATTATACCCGGGCACAGGGAATATGCTCACTTGAGTTCTATGACTCTCTAGGGACCTGGTCCTACATGGGCAATACCTGCCCAATCAGAAAATATACCAGCAAGAGAAGAGCATTCACCTGGCATGATTATGAGCAGAGTTTGCAGACCCAGAAGAAACTATTAAAATCAAGGCATTCATAGGAAAGCCAAATTGTTCAAACAATGTTCAGTGATTATCTCCCAGATGCAAACACTGTTGTTACCTCTGTCTCTTAACCCCACCAAGTCCTTCTCTGGTTCTAGGCTCTTCCCGAGCACAGTGATGAGGGTCCCTGGATCAAGCTCACCTTCCAGCCTCCAAAGCCCACAGCTCCCTACAAGGTGCAACATGACGTGGTTGGACAGTGCCACAGACACGTGCACAGCGCAAAATTCTACTCAGGATAAAGAGAAAATGGCAACTGCTCTGTTGTGCTGCGTTTACACCCCAGCAAGTGCTTCTGTAGCTTCACAGAATAACCCAGAGAAAGCTAGTTGGCATGCTATGGAAGCATGTACTTCAACAAGTACGCTGCCTAAGAATGTCCACAAGAACACTAATAACAAGCTTAACTACAATGCTATGTTTACCCTTCACGTTACCTTTAAACCATTAGTTTTTTAAGTGTCCGTTTTCAAATGTTATTCATTTCATTTCCGAGGCTGATTTGCACTTCAGTGCACCTAAACTCTGTCTTCCTTTACTAGGTTGTGAACTACATAAGAACATAGCCTGAAGGACAAACAAATGCTATTTCTGTTACCCGTTCTAATCATTCCTTGATTTTAATGCAGATCCTTGATATTCCCTCAGGAGACCCATCATTTCTACACTTGGTTGCTCAATTATAGAGATGGCTTAGGCTTGACCAATTAAAGCACTGCTTCCCTGGGATCAGTAACTGCTTTAAGTCTGGTCACATGATAAATACCACATAATATGACTCAAACCAAGTATGGTACTTTTATTGGGGAAAAGCTGATTGGGTTTTGTTTGTTTGTTTGTTTGTTTGTTTGTTTGTTTTGGGTTTTTAAACAGCAAATCAGGAAGTCAGGCAGTGGTGGCACAAGCCTTTGACCTCAGCACTATGGAGGCAGAGGCAGGCGGATCTCTATCAGCTTGAGGCCAGCTGGTCTACTAAAAGAGTTCCCGGGTTTCAAATATACAAAACAAAACAACAACAACAACAAAAGCAAATCGGAAGATGGATGCTGCCAAGTGTAGACACACTGAATCAGCCTAAGAATATAACCACCATACAGAAGACAACTAGAGAGATGCCAGGTCCTGCTGGCTCAAACCTGATATCCTCGGGTGTTTATGAGCACCTCCATGAGCCAATATATTCTTTTTATATATTGCTTCAGCCAATTTGAGCAGCTCTCTGCGCTTGCAACCACATACATGACAATTAACAAAATCTGTGTTAACCTTATCACCTCAACACCAGGGCAGGCAGTAGGATGCTAAGAAGCTATTCTTTTAAACTAGTTACAAAAAAAAAAATAGGATCAGAATATTTACATATGTAATTTATTTCATGTAAAATCTCAAAAAAAACTTTTAAATTAAAAAAGTAATGATGGCTGCCCCTAGAGATGTTGCAGGCGTGGATGCTGCATCACGTGGGTGGCAGGAGGTGGCAGAGAGGAGAGAGGTCATGTCTATGCTCAGTGTTCTGACCTATAAACATCTGAAGGATTAGCAGCCTAACAGTCCCTGAAAGAAGCAGGCCTGGGGAGTACAAACCATGCCCGAGATGAGCTCTGCCCCGCACTGTGATGCACAAAAAGAGCACAGCACCCCTGAGACAACCCCTGACACTCAGAGATCCCGGGCACCACTAAGAGCAGCAATGGAAGTGGTGGGGAAATGGAAGAGAAAGGAACAGAAGGACGTGGGCACAATGGAGAGAGGCAGAACTGGAGATTCGAGGGATGAGGAACAGCCTGACGTGAGTAGCCAGTGCTGCCACCTGGAACTATGGTGGGGTCCTGCCTGGCCTGTGCTGCCACAGGGAGCCATGTCTGGGTCTGTGGCCCTGCAGCAGCAGGGGTCTGTTACCATCAAAGGCCAGGCAAATGTCCTCATTTGGGGCTCCTGCCCAGAAACATGCTGTCTGAGGGCTGTGCAGAAATGCCCTCACATGGGCATCATGAGAAAGCTGGGCCTGGGGGCATGAGAGCAGGAGACCTGTTCCTGCCCCTCACCTTCTGCAGCACAATAAAGCTGGCCCTGGATGTGGGGGTTGCAGGCAAGGCAGCCCACAGGGCATGAGCGCAGGAAAGCTGCTCCTTCCTCGTCTGTTGGGAGGTGGCACGAATGAGGGAGAGATGCCCTCTTACCACTCCCTTGTCCCTCGCCATCTATGGCAGACAGGAGAGTTTGGCCCCAAGGAGATGAGAATGGGAGAACTGGCTATGTCCCTCACTGGCTGCAGCACTCAGGAGAACGGGTTCTGCACCTCACCTGGGCAGCAGGGTAGAATTGGCTCTCGTGCAGGAGATTGCTGGTAGGAGTGGGAGAGCTGGCTAGGCTGACCAGCTCAGATACCTTAGACCCAGATCTAGGGCTTTGAGTTGGCCCACTCCAACATCTACCCTATGGATGAGCTGCTGAAGTGCATGAAGAGGCCTGTCCTACAGATCCAAAACTCCAGGATCTCATGACACAGGGCAACAACAGGGTGTCTGAGAGGAGCCCCAGTGAGGTTCCAGTATTGGCAGAGTTGCAGAGGCCAGACAAAGGAGTCACTGAAATGAACATTTGCAAAGATGTGTGTACAAAAGGGTATACTGTGGGACACACTGTGACACACCACAGCTTCCATAAGGAGATTTTTTTTTTGTCTGCTTGGTGGGGAGCAGCTACGAGGGGAGGGGCAGATGAATGGGGATGGGGTGCATGATGTGAAACTCACAAAGAACCAATAAAAAGTAAAAAAAATAAATTAATTAAAAAGTTAAAAAAAATAATCACAACTCATTTACTAAGACAAATGTGAGGGAAAAAAAAATCCAAACTTTCTAAGCATAAAGCTATTAGAGAGAAAAAGTTTTCTATTCACAACCTTCTAAACAGAAGTTATAAATCCTTGCAACCTTAATGCATTTCACGTTACTTAAGGTACTGGCCTTTCTTTCTTGGTTAAGCTAAGTCTACGGTGCCAGCTGACTACCACAGGAACTGATCCTTATGAAGATGGGGGCTGCCTCAAAAGGCATCTGGCTCTAACTTACCTGCCCTCCCTCGTTAGTTTGGATTTTTTTGTTTGAGGAGTGCGGGGAGTACTGAGGGAGATCTTATGTGGGCCAGGTTGGCCTGGAAATTCCTGGAAACTCAGGATCTTCCTATTAACACCTCCCAAGTCCTGAGATTACAGGCGGGCAAACAACATACACCCAGCCTTGGGTCACACAGCTAAAAATTTAAACGGCTCCTTTTTTCCTCAAAAGAAAGTAGGTTAGCTGACCAACAAGAGACTCTCATTTTCCCAGTAAATGTCCTTCAAGTTGAGAATAATTTTAATAGTTAGATTCTCCATTCTTTAGACATGAACAAGCAGACATGATATAAGCTGAATATTAACTTAGCAGAGATACAAAAATGACTTGAGTGATGTATGAAGTCGCTGAATGTTTTGAACTTGTCTTTCAAATTCAAGTTCAGATCCCCAAGAACCAATTCTCGGTTTCACCTAATCCTTTCTGTATCCAACATACTCTAGAGCACACAACTTACTTAACGAAGACTCTGAAGCCTGAGAATATTCACAAATCAACAAAGGGGTGGACATTTAATTTAAAAGAAAACAGCCAAATTTTCTAAGCTTTCTGGGTATCGCAACAAAGACACTAAAGGTAGGAATTAAAAGACATTGTAATACAGAGCCTAAAAGTTGGCAAACTTCTTAAATACCACCTCATTAAAAGATGAAGTAAATTACAACTTAGAAAGCAGGTGACTCAAAGTCACCAGCCCAGTGCCTCTAAGAATTGTAACAAAACCAAGTGTCTTTCCTACAAGTTCCCCGACCATCAAGGGGCACCTGAGGACTCAGTATCAACTTGTTGCTCCCTTGACTCTTCTTTCTTTTACACTGTGCATCTTAAAAAGACAGAGAGAGAGAAAGAGAGAGAGAGAGAAAGAGAGAGAGAGAGAGCGCGCACCTGTGTGTGTAGCCCTGGCTATTCTGGAGCTCTCTAGACTACGCTGGCTGCAAACTAAGGGATCTGCTTGCCTCTACCTCCCATGTGCTAGGATCAAAGGTGTGAGATACTACTGCCAGTACATGGCGCAGCTTGTAAAGGAGCAAACGAGGGACTCAATGGGTAGCTCTTTCTCTCTCCCTACTTCTAGATAAGGTAACTCATTAATTACAGGAGCTAGAGAAGGTGTCTTTCACACAATCCCTAACAGCAAAATCTCTCTGCACTGTCTCCTTAGTAGCATCAGGGAGAACAGACTATGGTTTATAACATAGTCTCTCATTTCAAATTTCTGCAATAACATGCAGCTCCATGACACTGAGCTTTGGGTTAGACTCTGCTCAAAAGAGTGGACTCAAGAAGACACCATCTTAAACAAAGTGATCAAATGAACTGTCAAGACTCTCAAAAGGAGTGACCAGCCTTATGGGTCTTATCTATAAACAGTCTATGAAACTAAAGAGATTTTAAAAAGACATATAGTCACAATTATCTAAAGACCTGAATGGTAATTTCTCTGTTCTTTAGTTCAGGTATGCATAGAAGAGTTTTAAGACAGTTGCCTGGCATGTCTGAGCATGCTTAATTAGCACTTGCTGTACAAAAGCCATATATCAAGACTCTCTAATGAGTACAAGGTTTACGCTGTCTTTCTTACTAGCAGTACTCTTGAATCTACTTATAAGCTACAAGTAAATACATGTATTCTTCTATAACTTGCATTTAAAAAAGACTTTATCCCATCCACATAAAATCAGGCCCAAATTGCTTAGCTTCCAAGAGCAGATGAGATCATACACATTCAGGATAGTATGACGAAAGACTAAAACAAACCTTTCCAACTCTGACTCAAAATCTGGCAACAAAGACTACCATATTGGACTATGTAATTTTAAAAAAGCCTTTTGCATGGCAGATGGTCTAATAAGCCAAGTCAAAATTAAATATTATATTGAGAGAAATACTTGTTATCTATACGAAAGATAAAGGACTAATATTCCCAACATACAAAGACTAATTTTTTTGAGGCCGGGTCATATGTAGCCCAGGCTGACCTTAAATGCGTATTTCTGCCTCTTCCTCCTAAGTGCTCATATTTTAAGTGTAACCATACCTAGCTATAAAGAACTTATAAAAGGCTGGTGCAGTGGTACACACCTGTAAGCCAGGGAGACAGAGGCAGGCAGGTGGATCTCTGTGAATTCGAGTCCAGCCTAGTCAACAAAGCAAGTCCAGCACAGCCAAGCTACACAGAAAAACCCTGTATCGAAAAAGAAACAAAACAAAACAAAAAGTACTTTATAGAAGTTTGAAGGTTTGAGATATCGTTCAGTGGTAAGTACACAGTTAGCATGTACAGGCTCTAGTTCAATCCCTCGCAACAAAAGTTAATGAGTTAACTAAAATAAAATTTGACTAAAATTCCTAAACATAAATGGATTAAGAAGGCCAAGCACAGGCACACACCTGTAATGCTGGTTACTATGAAGCTTGACCTGGAGGCTTGAAGAGTTTGATGTCAACCTGAGCAGCACATCAAGACCTGTATCTCATAAGGTAGGGGGAAAAAAACAGGCCCTGGATATTTGAATTAAAAAACCAAACAACAACAACAACAAAACCCAACTTTGCTCTTATAATGAAATACTCCTTTTAGGCTAAGGTCTGATATGGGAGAAAACATGATTTTTTTCTTTAAGTCTGAGTCACTTCTATTAATACACTTTCTAGGCCCATCTATTTTTCTACAAATGTCATTTTTCTTTACAGTTGAATCATTGTCCATTTTGCATATGTATCACGTTTTCCTTACCCATTCACCTGCCAATGGAGAGTAACAAGAGGAAAGATAAAGTACAGGCAAAAGGACACCTGAGTCAGAAAAGGATATCAAGCTCATTTTTTCATTTTTTACACTTTCAACTTCACCATAGTTTATCCTGTTTTTCTCTTTTTCAGGGCAGATATGTGAATTCAACTTTCTGAGTATTTGTCATAGTTTCTGTCAACTTGACACAAACATATACATACCTGGGATAAGCTCTCACTTGAGGAAATGCTTCCAACAGACTGGCCTTTAGGCATGTCTACAAGACATCTTGACTGCTATATTGATACAGGAAGGCCCAACCCACTATGGATGGTGCCATCCCTGAACACATGGGCCTGGGCTCTATAAGAGAAACAGCTGAACAAACCAGTGGAAACAAAGCAGTCAACAGACTTCCTGTGTGGACTCTGCTTCAATGTCTGCCTCCAGGCTCCTGTTCTGACTGACACTGAATGCCTTCTGCCCACCATTTGGTAGTCGCTTCGTCTCCTGCCTGTGCACTCTTTGCCCAGCAACCCGAGATCACATGCAACATGAATAAGCCAATAAACTTCTCTGTTCTATGCTGGGCTGACCTACACTTTTTCTAGTAAGACATGAACCCTTTCTTCCCATGTTGTCCATTCTTGGCCCTCTTCCTCAGCCATATCAAAGGACTGACATTGACTTTCTTTGTAC